AGGAATGGTGAAAGCCGCTTACTGTTCTGGCCCTTTTGAGGTGACTTTTGACCCTTTTGATTTGCAGAACACCCATCAAAACCTGCAGTTGCTGATCGTTTTGGGGCAACTTTTCTCTCATGGGTTTGTTCTCCCTTTCAGTGCAGTGGGGTTGCTTCTGAGCTGGTTTGGACCATTGAGAGATTTAATTCCTGGCTGGCTGGCCTGGTGCCAGGCTGTGCTATCTGATCCAGAGGCTGGGTGTAGCTGCTTCCTATTGCCTGTGATGTGTTTGATGTGCCCTCGGGAAAAGCCCATGTCCAGACTGTTCCTCCTGTTGTAAGCTATAGCTCCAGGCACTTCTGGTTTATGTATGTATTTATATATGGGCATACACACACATGCATTTACAATGTGTTTTTGTGGGAATTGCCCTGTTAGAAGAGGTGAGGAGCACTTCTGTCATGGTCATTGTGCATATCTAGCAAATGGGGATGTGAAAGGAGGGCACAAACTCACCATTACTTTGATCTCTGAGGGGTGTCAGGACTTTGCCATGTCGTCCTCCTTTGTGCTCATGCATCCCATGTGTGTTCCTCACCCTTGTGCAGTCAGGTTCTGCTCCTTGTGATCCTCTGCAAACCAGTTGCTTCCCTTGTTATTCAGGAGCTTAAACAGGGATGGGGTGCCCCATCCCTCGCAGTGTTCAAGGCCAGGCTGGACACAGGGGCTTGGAGCAACCGGCTCTAGTGGAAGGTGTCCCTGCCTGTGATAGGGGTTGGAGCTGGAGGAGCTTTAAGGTCCCTTCCAACACAAACCGGTTTATGGTTCTGTGATAACTGGCTGACCTTGGAGGTTAAACTGAGGTTTGTGCTCTCAAAATGATTGCAGAACTCGGTCATGGACTGTTGCTTGCAGCTGTAGATGATTGCAGGGAACTGGTAATAGTTGGGCTTGTTTTGAGGCTGTGGAGAAGACTTTGTAATCAGGATGTCTCAGTGCTGTGTTTTCACACCTGCAGCATGCCTTAGGGATAAATAGTGAGCTGCTGTGGAAATGTGGTGATTGTGCAGAGCTGCCAGACAGAAATGTGTCAGTTCCAGTCCCCTCCAACACCTCCACGTCCTCCTTATGCCATCTCAAAGCAGAAAACTGCAGAGGAAGCTTCCTCCTGAACAGACAGTGACTGGGAAAGTTACAAGCAAATAAAAGCAGGATTGTGGTCAGCTGTGACCGTTAAGGGTCCTGTTAAGGCTGTGTTGTGGTTACATCATTACCTGTCCTCTCTGCCTCCTCCAAATAAAAGGCTGCCATCCTGTCAAGCTGGGTTTGCTTCCTTGTGCTTTTCCCAGCTTCCCTGTGCCTGTGGTGGTGCAGGACTGCAGTGAACTTGAGTTTAAACTGAAACGGGAATTTCAGGTTGGATTAAGGAAGAAGTTCTTTACTGTGAGGGTGCTCAGGCGCTGGCACAGGATGCCGAGAGACATGGTAAATACTCCATCCCTGGCAGTGTTCAAGGCCAGGTTGGACAGAGCCTTGGGCAATGTGGTCTAGCGTGAGGTGTCCCTGCCCGTGGCAGGGAGGCTGGAACTAAGTGATCTTAAGGTCCCTTCCAACCCAAACCATTCTATGATTCTGTGATTGCTGGGAGCAGGGTGGAGGGTGGCAGGAGGCAGGTTGCTTCCTCTCCCAGGAGCTGAGCCTGTCTTGAAGATTTTGGTCCTCCCGTCCTCTCCCCCACCCCCCCCTTTCTACTTTGAATCACGCATCCCTACTTCTTGTTCTCCAGGAGAACCTGCGGAGGTCATTGAGAAATGTTTCTTTTCCATTATGGCTCTTTAGCATTGGGTTTGGTCTTGTTTGATTTAATCAGCCATCGGGATGCCTGGGAGAGCCCTCATGGGATCAGGTCTTGCCTTCCTCCTGAGCAGGCTAGTGCTGTGAGTCACCTCATCCTCCTCCTTTGAGTTGTCAGAAGCAGCAGCCTCTGAGAAACACCAAACCCCACATATCCAAGTAGAAAACTCCATTACCACACAGATAAGCTCAGGAAAGGAGGTGATGGGTTTGTTAGGGTATGTTGTGTCTCTGAAAACTGACATTCTCCTGCTTAGCCCAGGAAGCAGGCACATTGGTGCAGTTGCCCTCATAAATTTTCCCTTTGGAGACAAGCTTGTGCATCTCCTGTTTTCCTCATGTTCCACTTTTTTCTATAAAGTGCCTGCTTTAATTAAAGATAAACTGGCAAACACATAAAAGATCCATTGCTTTCAGTGCAACTTGAATTGCCTCTTGCCAGGTACGTGGTGTTAATTTTTAACTCCCTGTATATTGAGCTATGAGTGTTAAGTGCCAAACTGGCAAGTCTGTATTGTCACAAGGGGTTGAATTTGAATCCATCCACTTCCCTGAGCACTTTTTGCCAGCTTTCCAAAGAAAACAAAGCTGATGCAACTCTTCCATCTGTCTGTGAGCTTTCTGCAAGTAACTTTGGAAGCTCTCAGCCCTCTGCAGGCAATTCCAATAGAGGGTCAAGGACTTAAAATTGTGTGAAAACAGGTGAACAGTGCCCCCAGTGAGGAGAAGAAACTCTAGTTAGAAGAAAACTTGGTATGAGAACAGGCTTTGAGCAGCTTATTGAATTTAAATGACACAGATGTCAGGAAGCCAATGTATTTGATGGTTTTTGGTATACCACATGCAGGTAGTTGGTCCATTAGCTTGAGACCTCTTACAGCCAAAGCAAACCCGAGTTTGGATGGGAAGTAAGTCTTGCCTTTCTCTCTTGAAGGTTTTCAAACCATACCAGGCATCCCAGCATGACATGTGCCGATTCCACTCTGAGGACTACATAGACTTCCTGCAGAGAGTGAGTCCCAACAACATGCAGGGATTCACCAAGAGCCTCAATGCCTTCAACGTGGGGGATGACTGGTGAGTGCTCTGCACCTCCTCCACAGTCACAAAGGGGGTGCTCCTGCATGGCTGTGTCCAGAAACCCCACTTAGAATGTCCCATTCCTCCTTGTTTTTAACCAGGATAAGGTTTGTGTCCCTCATATTACTGGAACCCCCTCAGTTCCTTTCTCTTCTCCTGAAATCTTGCAGTCCTCCTTCTTAGATCTACATTTAAGCTGTAAGCATGTTGCATCAGAGATGGTATCTCTGCTTGTTCTTGAACATGCTAATTGTCGCTTTTAATAATTTCCTGCCATTTTAGCTGCCTTAATATGTGCATATTAAATCCAAAACAGTTTTGAGAGGCTGAGTTTCAGGTAGAACTAAGGAGATTGTCATCTTCTGTACAAAACTACATAAGATCATGTTGAGAATATTCAGTTCCAGCCTTTAATGGTTGTGAGAGATGAAACTTGAAAGAAATGTGGAAGGGCTCTGTGGTTGACTGAGGAAATGGCAATATGCCTTGTCTGGATTATAAGGGCTGTCAGAGAGTAAGACTGTTCTTACGTGGAGGGGAAAGCTCTAGGTACTAACATGGGAGGAGTTATGTTGGCTAGAGAACAGTGTTAACCCCAAAAGATACCAGTAGAGCCTGGGTTTTGAGATTTAGGCTGAGAAACAGAAGACTTATCCTATAACCTTGCTGGTCTCTATGATCAGACACCATCTTATCAGAAATGAAAGGGGAAATAAAATCCTGTAGCCTTTAAGCCATCACTTGTCTACAGATGTGGGACATGATGCCAGCCAGCTGGTGACACAGGGGCTGCATGTCCTGTGTTTCTGTACATTTCCAGCGCTGGCTCTGCGTGGTGGGATGGATCAGACCTTAGTGCAGTGTTAAACATTACCCAGCAGTATGCACTTGCAGCCCAGAAAGGCAACCATGTCCATGGAGAGGGGTTTTTGACAAAGGTAAATAGTGACAGGACAAGGGGGAATGGCTTTAACCTGCCAGAAAGGAGATTGAGATGAGCTCTTAGGCAGAAGTTCTTCCCTGTGAGGGTGCTGAGGCCCTGGCACAGGTTGCCCAGAGAAGCTGTGGCTGCCCCATC